CAACATTTGATGTATAAACGGCATAGATATCTTACATGCAGCCACAATCTCCCAATTTTCTCAAAATCAAGGTGAAAACAAGGATCAAAATTTATCTCTAGGATGGGTTAGAACACTTGCCTTAGATGAGTTTGATTCCCAAATACAGGGAGTTGATGCAAAACCTCAAACAAAGTTTCCTCTTCTTCTTCTTCTCCTTGTTCTTCTTCTTCTCTTCTTCTTCTTCTCCTCAAACTAACGTTGGCTGCAAAGTTTCTTTTTAATGGTGCCTTAAATTACTTAGGTTTTGCTCATGCTAAAATAGTGAGGTGACAAGCATGCATGGGGGTTTAGGTGTCAATCTTTAGAATAAATGCAAGTGGCTCATCCTTGTTAATGACACATGTCCTCCATTTTATTTTATTTTATTTTTATTTACTCAATTCTGAATATTCTATAAATCATATCAAAATTTTAATATTTACTCTTAGGTCCTTAGCCATAAACTTTAATATAATATTATTTAATAAAAAATTATTAAATAATCCTCATATTTACAAACAAGCATTTACTATTTTTTTTTTTTTTAATGGGGGATGTTACAAGTATCCGCTAGTTTTAGGAAATTGCTAGGATGGCTGATTTGTTGTTGATCAGAAGAATCTTGGCAATCTCTATATGGACATCTTTGGAGTTAGTATGATGATATAAAAGGGAGGAAGTCTTACAAGTAGTGAACATAATCTCCATCAATTTCATCATACATTCATCAAATTTGTTTGGCTAATTCACCATAATACTGTAATTTATTTGTTGACATGTTTTCTGAGAATTCGTTGCCATCCCTCCAGGTTGCAACCTTGCTTTAGGATAATTTTCTTGCATGTCCTAAAATACTAGTTTGCTGCGGTGAAACAAGATTGCAGATTATTTATGCCCACACTTATATTGTAGTTTCATTTCCTTGTAATCACATGTACTTTGATATTTGACAATTAGCTAACCGTTGATATTTTCCGTTGCTGCTTTAGGTAGGCCAGGGGACATATAGCAATGTGTACAAAGCTCGAGATCGTGATACAGGAAAAATTGTTGCCTTAAAGAAGGTTCGCTTTGACACATCAGAATCTGAGAGTGTGAAATTCATGGCAAGAGAAATTATGATACTGCAAAAGCTCGACCATCCCAACGTCATTAAACTTGAAGGGCTTGCTACTTCGAGAATGCATTACAGCTTATACCTTGTCTTTGATTATATGCGGTCTGATTTAGCAAGGGTTATTTCACGCTCTGATGCAAGACTCACTGAACCACAGGTTTTTATACTTTAAATTGTATATCATCATGTTTAGTGATAAATTAGGATGAAACTTTTTATCTGAATCACCAGCATAATACTTCCTTTACCCTTGAAGCCTTATGCTGCATTAGTAACATACTTGCAACCCATATAGCACTCGCATCCCTTCCCCCTGAAACCTTCTTCCTCCTGATCATTTTGCCTTTCATATTTCTGATATTGTTGCAAATACTTAAGTTATGAAGACTGCATTACTATCTTTTTCTGCAGGTAAAGTGTTATATGCGGCAAATTCTCTCTGGTCTACAGCACTGTCATGAGAGGGGAATCTTACATCGGGACATTAAGGGTTCCAATTTATTGATTGACAAAAATGGAGTGCTGAAAATTGCTGATTTTGGCCTTGCAAATTTTTATAATCCTAACAAGAAATGTTCACTTACGAGCAGAGTAGTGACCCTCTGGTATAGAGCACCTGAGTTGTTATTGGGTACTACAGATTATGGAGTTGGTATTGATCTCTGGAGTGCTGGTTGTCTTCTTGCTGAAATGTTTGTTGGGAAACCAATCATGCCCGGAAGGAATGAGGTCCAATCATCTTTTTTTTTTTTTTTTGCTTCATTTTATTATCATTTTCTGATAGCACACACTAAATTACAAGAAAAAATATGTGTTTTCCAAGCATTGATTTCAATTTTGTGTTTTTATCAATTAGACAACCATTTAAACTAAATATTAATTGATTTTGTGTGAATCATATCATTGGCATTAAGCAAGTGTAAAATATTTAAGCTATGTGGATCACCATGTAAAATATTAGTTAACATGCTTTTGGGTTATTCAGGTTGAACAGCTCTATAAAATATTTAAGCTATGTGGATCACCATCAGAAGACTACTGGAGAAAGTTAAAGTTGGCTACTATCTTCCAACCCCCACCGCCTTACAAACCAAGCATTGTTGAAACTTTTGGAGATTTCTCATCATCTGCCCTTAATTTATTGATGGTGCTTCTTGCGCTAGACCCCTCCAATCGTGGTACTGCAGCATCTGCTTTGCAAAGTGATGTGAGTTTTAACTCGTCATTAAATTATTTTATTGATCTGAACATGTGGGAAACTTAAGAATTTAATGCTTATAAGGTAATATTAGCTATGAGCATCTTCTTATTTTTCCACCATAAAAGGCATGGAATCATAGCATGGTACTGCTACTTAGCAGCCAAAAGAGAGTCATCATTAGATGGTTTAACTGCACTTCTCCTTTTCTTTGGTAAACTTCTGTAATGCACTTTATCTTTAGTTCTGCTAAGTTTTTCTTTTATTAGAGTTGGACCTGTAGACACTTTGAAAACCATATACAATGTATTTGAACCTGGTGCAACTTTGGAGTCTTACTGTTCTAGTCACAACTCATATACAAAGATATAAACTTTGTGAAGTTCTTGCTTAAGCAAGAATTTTTGCATTGATGGAGGGAGATTGATGCAATGGCCATGAAGAAAGTAATATACAAATTTCACTTTTGTATTATAGGGATTTTCTATGATCAGAACTAGTTATTCTTGCTTAATTCTATCACAAACCTATTCTATTATAATGACTAGGTTGATCAATAATGACTATAATGATCCAATTCTTACATATGCAGAATTGAAATATCATTGGAACTCGTCTTGCATAACAAAATTAGTGTTTGCATAATTGAAAAACTTAGGTTAGTTATGGGAAATGAGCATTGTTCGGCCAAGTAAAATCAGACTAAAATTTAGGTTCTTATACTAAAATAAGCCAGAATTTTATCATTGGAATGAATGCATGATAAAATTCATATGTATTATTCTAACATTTTCACCTATTGGAATTGTAGAGCTTTGATCATGCACACCATTCACAACTTCAATGCAGCATGTAAAAGAACTCTCAATTTCATGATTCATGACATCTTTTTATGAGGAACTTGTGTTTGAGAAAAGCTTACTTTTGGGCAAATAAAAAGGGCGGCTCAGTGCACATGACTCCTGCCAATGTGAAATTCATGGAGGGTCAATGTGTGCAGTCCTAACCTTGCAAGCTAAGAGGTTATTTCTATGACTTGGAACCCTGATAACCTAGATTACAGAGGAGTGAACTTACCGTGACACCAAGGCTTATTCGTAGATGACTTAGTGCATCACATTGTTATCTGTTTAGACAGTTTATACAATGCAGCATAGGCCCAATAGCAAGTGCTATCCTTGCTCTCAGTAGTTTAATATTATTTTGATTTTGGACTTCAACCATATGGAGATCTTGACCGGTCTCAAGTCACAAACTGGATGACAATCATGGATATCTTTTTTTCCTTTTCTATGCGTCAAATTAGATTTATATAAGAAGCAATTATATTGGATAGGAGTCAGAGACATCCAGGTTTAATTACTTTGACATTAAGCTCCAATGGTTTAATCTATTTTGCTTTTATTGACTAGAAACTGATCACTTGCTCCTTCAATTGCAGTTTTTCAGCACAAGGCCCTCGGCGTGTGACCTTTCAGACCTTCCTGTAATGTATAAAGAGGCTGATGAACCAATTCAGCTATATGAGCGAAGAAAGTGAGTTCATTTGGTCTCTTGGGTAGTGTTTCTATTCCTCAACACCTACAGATCGATGATGTGCTCAACAAAAATATGAATTTTATTTTTATCCTTTTATATTGAAAGATATTTTCTTCATGCCTGCTCCATATTTTTCATTGTGGATCCCTGTACTTATATTAAAGTAATGTGCATCTATGTGTAACTAGACTCTCAGAATTTTATGCATGTTCACAAAGCCTCATCTATGAATCAAGTATCATAGCCTGTTTCAACAATTATGTATCCACGGTTAGTTAAAACATCTTTTGGATATAAGTACGGCATCTATGTTTAACATTTAGTTTAGCATCGATTTGTGATTCGACGAATGCTTTCTGATGTCATTTTTTTTATTTATTCAGAATTTCTAGTTACATACTATATCACCAAGAATTTCTTGTTTCACTCAACATTTTTAAATGCACGTAAACTTCTTCCTGACCTTGATGCAGAAAATGAGATAGGCTCTGGGTAATTTGTTTTCCATCAAGATGCAAAACAAGTTTTAGCAAGCAATATTTATATGTCCATCAAGTCATTGCGTGACTTCAATTGTGACATCTCAAGTCCCCATGAATCTTGTTTTGACATGTACATTTCAATTTATTACAGGCGTAATGCTTCTTCGAAACAACAGTCTCGAAGACAAAGAGATGGTGAAAGGAAACTAGTAACTGTGAACACAAAAAGTGATTCTGGATCATCAAAAGAGGTAAGATCTTACTGAAAAAGCACTACAGCATTACTGCTTTGCAAGTATTTTTCTCTCAACCCGAGGGTTATCTTCTATCGGATTACGTACCACTAGCCACAGAGGTTCTTTTAGTCTACAATTTGGACTTTTGACTTGTCTCCTTCATTCTTCGTAAGGTATAAAACGTGTTTTGGTTCCAATATGTAATGATCATTCAAGGCCGTTAGATTAATATTGTTATCTCAAGAGAACCGTACGTCGGCCTTGGTAGGGCCAGACATGGGGGAAGACTTAGTTGGCCAAGCCAAGGGCAACCATCCTTAGGCCTTGGTGTAGGCACACAAGTGGACACCTCTTGACTCGGGCTGCAAGGAACAGGTCATCTTGGCACCTTCCCTAAAGTATGACTTTGTAACTCTATATGAAAGCAGCCACTTAAGATGTGAATCATCCTCTGCAAAGGAGAGGATGAGTCTCCATGAAAGCATTACACAAACCGCGACTGAATAACCAATTATTTCTTTGAAACTCTTGTTTCACAGACGCTCTGATCACTTGTTTTTTTCATATCTTTCTTTTATGACGATAGGAGAAACCGACAGATCTGCTCACCGATAGCCAAGAACCGGGCAGCAGCACAGGAAGTTCTTCCTCTAGCATCAAAGCTGAAGGGTCAACTCCAATCCAAAGAGAATCACAGAGAACAAGGCTTCCTGACAGTCCATATGTTTGATGGAAAACATGCATATGCGTCGGATGCCGGCTTCCTTCCGCAACAGGTTTCCATATGTTTGATGGAATTTATACAATATGAAATTTTACAATATACATATGAAATTTTACCAGACTACCATACTTTCTGTTTATATGTTCTGCTAATCATATTATGTCAATCCACAATTATCTTTTGTGTTGCTATCACTTGGCATCTGTGTATAAGCTGTATAAATTGTGTAATTGACATGACTAATTTGTCTGTCTTCGGTTTAATACTTGGATGGTGACCTTATCACTGGAAGAGTCAAAGCAATAGAGATCATATTTTGCAGGACCAACTGATTATGAAATGTGCATTAAACAGAGGATCATAAGCATAAAATTTTCTCTTTTGTTGTCACTCTTAGTCTAGTTTATTCTCTTCTCTCTCTCTCTCTCTCTCTCTCTCTCTCTCTCTCTCTCTCTGTCTAAAAAGTTACAAAGATGAATGTGAGGATGATCATTTTTCAAACATTTTTATCTCTGTGCAAGTCGAGATTAAGATATAAGCCGATATTACTTGGGTGACGTTCTTAGACAATTTCAATCTTAATAAACGACGAAACTAAGGATATGACTAAGTTAATCTTATTAGACAATTTTAATCTTAACTAATGATGTAACTAAAAGCGATATCAAAGATGAGTATTTGTTTGCTAAATTATTAATTTGTCTAAAGAACTCGAAGAACTCTTTAACACATCCAAAACAAAGATACCGAAGAGACAGCAGTAGAAGTTTAGCCTAACCTTCACACGACATCAGAAAACCATCATGATCTAATCCCATACAGGCAGCAGTAGCTGCACAGGACAACCCCGAACAAGCAGCACTTGGATGAAACAGCTTCGACGAGGAAGGAACAGAGGGTGCTGCTATAGAGGAGAGATGTGCTTAGATTCATCCATGGAGTGCGTCGGTGAACTTGTTCTTGATCCACTTGAAGCTGTTCCTCACCGAAGACCTGAGCTTGCGCTCCATGGTGAAGGAGTTGTAGGAGGCCACCCGGCGCTTCCTCTTCAGCTCGGGGTCGGTGGAGCTCGCAAACCCAGCGCCCTTCCCGTCGGGACCGTTGAAGCTGTAGGAGTTGGACCTGTTCTCGTACCCAAACCCATCACAAGAGGAAGATGAGATCTCCGGGAAGGACCTGCACTTCTCCATCCCCTCCCTATATGTCTGCATCCAGAGAGAGAGATACGCACGAGGAAGAAGGGGCAATGTTAGAGGCATTAAATTGAGATGAGAAGGGAGAGAGAGAGAGAGCTAAAAGAGGTGGGGGAGGAGATGATGGGACCGCAGGAGGAGTGGGTGCATGGATGCTCCATGTGTGATGTTGGGAGGGAAGTTGCCGTGATTCTGCCAACCTATTGGATTGGATTCGCCGCATTGCACTGCAAATATATCTTATCTCATCTAATCATGATTTAACTCATAATATCTTATCTATTTAGGAATGATTAAAAATATTTATTGATGATCAGTTCTACTCTCATACATCACGAGAAAAGATGTTATGAATATAAAAATCTAAATCATATCTCAACTAGCGCTAACTCTCCATAGTACTTACGCCTCCTTGACATCCTGATTTTTAAATTTTAAAAATTTATATTAAAAATCTTATAATTATGAAAGTACAATGTCTATATTAATTTATCTTAATATCATTGATTTTATTATAAAAATAATAATAATAAAAAATAATTTTAATATTTCAGTCGGTGGTGATGAATGATAATGTCACTGGGGGCCACAGGTGACTGTTGTAGATGGGAAGAGTGACGAAGAGACATGGGAGTCGCTTTGTATCTATGTCGGTGTCGACGTAATTACTAAGCGGTAAAAGTGTCACTCTACATCAGCATCGACACCTATATAGATACAGAACGACGTTGCTTGGCATCTGCATCGACGTCGATGGAGATGCAAAATTGCATCACGTCGCTCTACATCTACATCGACGTCAACATAATTACTGAGCAATGAAAGAGTCACCAACGCAGATGCTGAGTGGCCCTTTTATCACTCGACAACTATATTGATGTCGATGCAAATACAAAATGACGAAAGAATCACTCACTACGTCGACGTCGATGTAGTTGTCGAGCAATGAAAAGCTGCTCAACATTTACAACGATATTAACATAGATACAGAATGACTCTCATCTTTTAATGTTATTCTCCTCATTAATACCAACTACCCACGGCCCCAATGACACCCACGGCCATCACCCACTAGAATATTGAAATTATTTTTTAATTATTATTTTTATATTTCTATTAGTAAAATCAATAGGGTAAATGAATCTAGATATTTCACTTTCGTAACTATATAAATTTTTTAAATTTAAGGAATAGAATATTAAGGATGTGTAAGTAATGGAAATCGGTAATCGGATAATTAACCCCCTCATGTGACACCTTAATAGAATTTTTGATTTACCAAAATATCTAAGAAGATGCAGACAATGTCGTCATCAACTCCAAGACATGTCTAATAAGGTAGGTAGGTTGGCAACCTCAGACAACTAATTTGGTACTAATTCACCTCCTCAAATATAATATATTTTTTTATGTAATTAATTAATATATTGTGGCCCTTTCGATTGATATTAATGTGTGGTAATGTTTTTTGGCCGAAAGAATAAAGTGATGTATTTAATCCATGATTTATTGCATGTGATTGGAGGATTTTATTATTATTATTATTATTATTATTATTATTATTATTATTATTTTCTCTTGACCTTAAGGATTCTAAAATTAGCTTTCTTGAGTTCAATATGATGGCAAAATGTCAAAAAAATAAATAATTATATGTAACTACTATAGATATTACTGAAGATAATAAAAAAAATATCATGGTAAGAAAATCAATTTCACTGGAAACTATAAAATAGAAAAAAGAAAACATGAATTCCATCGAATTAACTAGAAATGTTATTTCAGATAAGATAGATTAAGGCCATTAATTAATTCAAGGTAATAAACCGCATGAATCTATTATGATAAATCAGGTAATCGAATAAAATGTTAAAATGGCACACCCAATCAATCAAATTACTACTTAGAACACGATGTATTGTCCTATCTCTTTAATGCAGTCAAATTATCCTTGATAAAACATCATTTGACATCATCAGCATGAGCAAAATGACTCTCATTTTGTGGGTGAGCTCATACAAATTTATTCTTCTTAAATGAGTCTATATAAAGCAGGACCAAACGTATTTATCAATCAATATCATCACCTCCTCACCAGAGAACCTGAGGCCGCCCCTCCTTCAAGCGTCTAGCATCAATGTCAAAATCAATATTCACCCTCTATCAATATTCATACTCAAAATAGATAATTTCTCATGAGTCCTCATGCTAATTAGCATAGATGATGAGTTATGACCTTTAGACCCAAATAATAGATCAACTCAAATAATAGATCCATTTACCTTTCAAAAATCAACTCAAATATTTAAATCTAAGTTAATAATGGCATACTCATACAACCATCATAAATCGACTAAAATCTTCACAACACAATTTAAAAGCGTCCGAATGTGCGATTTTATACGCACGCGTCTCAAAAGTGGCCGTACGGAAAAAGCAAGGAAAAAAAGAATCACCACATTATTATGTGCTGCATCCGCAGATTCCTCCATCAAGTTAGAGTCTAGAAATTGCTATCCCTTCACATTATGAATCTTCGAATTTAATATACGAACCACTCCATAAAACAAAAGGGTAGAAGTCAAATGTAGCACTCGATCTCCTACTTAAAAACACTCATTTTTCTTTATAATTAGAAACATATCCATCATAGCTTCTATGATCGATCTCGAAGAAGTCATCACATTGATCTACAATAGCAAAAAATTTGACCATCATATCCTATACCATTATATGCAATCATAAAACAAATATAGACTAAGTTAGTTTGACCACCATTCATTAATCGAAATTTTTTGGTACATTTAGAACACCCAATATCAACAAAACAAAGAGCAACATCAAAAAAGAAAATCTAACAAGCAACCTATTGTTTCTTTTTTCTGTCTCGAATAACTTATACACAATTCCTGACTCAGGTGAGTAATAACTATTCCTAAAAGATGCATCTGCTATAACAATTCCTAAAAGAGATGGTAGCAGATTTTACCGGCATACGAATGCAGAATCAACAGTGAAAAAAGTCCGCTCCTTCCTCGACATCATCAGTTTTTATGCCTCCAGTTTGTGCCATAAGAACTCTGTACACTCTCTTTGAACAAATCTCACCTAGCCGCCTGTCTTCCGTTCCCACGATCCCTGTAACCATCAAATCCTTAAGCAGGAACTCCTTTTCGTGGACCTGACATTATGGGAGAAAAGAGTCAGCCATGGCTTTGTTGAATCAAACTACTATATCCTAGTGGTAGTACTAACCGATTTATTTGGGTCCATGTATACATTCAAAAGGGATCTCATAGTTGGATACTTCTTCCAAATGGCAACAGCATGTCTTGGTTGCACTTTGGGAATGGCTATTAGTGCTTTCAACCTGGCAAAGCAAAGTGATTCAGAAATTAGAGCCGGCTAGCTACATCAGTGCAGCAGTACACAAGAAAAATCTGAATAGGAACAAAATTGCAATGCTAATAAGACCATACTATTCCACAAAAATAAGTTAGTTGCAGATTGGTTCAATATAGAACAAAACGAGAGGGAAAAGAGTTCAAATCATTTGACCACATAAATCTGAAATAAGAAAAATATGCAGGAATGAATTAACAGGACATATCATAAGAACCCATCTTTAATACTAACATTAAACTAATCTTAAGTTGTTCCAAATAAACATTAAAAAACAACTATTGCTAATGCAATAGAAAGGATATATTAGATTATTTTCTGAACTGTGAATAGATAAGTCTAGATCCACTAAAGTTCAAGTGCAATGTAAAACCATTCCATGGCAGTGGGCCTCATAATGTAAAACATTTGTTCATTATAAAACTAATCAAATACTACAGAGGAACCAGGATCTATTTGTTCAACTAACTTTGATTTCATGACCATTAGATAAATTGTCAGAATAGATGTGTACTGTCCATATTTATCTAAAGAAGAGCATAAACATGATCTAAAAAAATACAAATTGAAGAAACCATTCCATCATTTTAACAAATTGAAGGCATTTTAACATATTTATGTATTTTTAGCCTTATGAACTCTATTGAGAGAAAAAGTCAAATATAATTTAATTTTTACACAATCCTACAATTCCCATCACTGGGTGATTGTCAATTAGCAGATAGAGTTCCGGCACTAGCACTAGTATCATGGTAGGTCACCTGTATTATCCACATAAGGCTTCTATATGACGTTGAATATTCACAAGGTTCAAGAACTGCTTGGTCCAGTATGTACTAATTAATATCTACATGCACCCACACCGGAGAATTTTACTCGGCCAGGTTCGGAAGTACTTTTTTTTTTCAAAATCTGGACAGCTGTTGACTCAACAGCCCTGTTGTTGACAGTTAGACAGTTGTTTTTACCATCAACAGTAAGGATGTTGACTATCAACAACTCTACACTCCTCCTCCTCCCCTCTTAGCAACTTCTTTCTCTTTGGCATGCCAATATGTATCAGTCCGGCCACAAACCATTATCGGTCTCAAACCAAAACTTGAAACCTTGATTGACAATATGTATAACCCGCAATTTTGAACTTACTATGACATAGAAGTCAGTATTTCTTTTCATCAGTCCAAGGTAACTTTGTGAATGGTTGTTATGCTTCTTATAAATTATATATATAATTATCACAAATTGTATAAATTCTACAAAATACATCTTCAAATACAATATTATCTGCCATTTATAAATTATTTAAACTATAAAATGACATGTCCATACTTTTCTAAAGTTAGTCCTTTCAGCAAGCTTATATCATGTCATGTCTGTGTTCATGTCCCGCTTCACTGTATCAAAAATAGAAAAACATAACCCCAAAATAGCCAAACTATCTAAACCATGAATTTTAATTGATTCTTAGGTATAGGTAGCTAGATGTCAAAGTTTTGCACACTTGAAAAAGTATATAAGGGATTATTTTAATATTTTAATTTAATATGTAAGTACGTCTTTCTGTTTATTTAACTCACCAAATCAACTCTGTTACTAGGATTACAACGAGGCAATGGCCATATAAGAAGTGTTACATTAAAACAGGAATGGAAAAAGAAAGTAACACATTGCTACACATGAATGTGAGTATGCAATAAAAATAACATATTCCAGCAAAGAATTAAAATCCTAAAGAGTACAATGATGGCTGCAATCAAATGTATTCCATTTGACAACACAATCTCACAGCGAACAATTGATTTATGATACTAAACATTTCGAAACAGGATTAGTAGGATGAATATACAGGGTGCTACTCTTAAATTGTTTCCTACAAAGCAATAAATAAAAAGACATTGAACTAACAGGTATGTAACCGTTACTACTTGTTGAATAGAAAGTACATAAAGCATGTTATACCAGACACTCTTTTTAGTCAGATTCTTGTCAATGAAATCCTTCGGAACAATGGACCCGTTAGCATGTACTGACAGCCAAGTCAACTTCTTTCTGCATATAATTAGAAAATTCATTAGCAATGTAAAGATAATTTTAATATGGAAAAATGATAATCAACCAGAAAAATAAGCATATCCCTAATGCCAAATTTCTACTAGCATATATGTAGCGTAGATAAACTAGGTTTCTATTCCATCAAAACAATCCTCTCATATTCAAGAAAGAGGGGACGTGCTGTTGCCAATTTGAGGACATGTGGCAGAAACTGAAATCTTGATTTTTCGGATAGAAATACTTGCTAGAAATTCAACTTCCCTAATATTGCACTTGAACATTTATTACAATGATGATAATCACTGTGTCCAACTATCAAATCTAAGTTAATTTTTCTGTTAAATAAGTGCATACCCAGAATGACATCTGTTCTCCTGACATCAATAAGGTAGAGATTGTCAAGAGAGTTCTATCCTTGGAAACTGATGAAGACCTTGCAGCATCTAGAGGAGAAATTAATTGTCCTTCCACCTCCAGTGTGGAGTTTGAAAAAATTGATGGTCACTTATAGCAGGCCAAAATGCCTGGAAAGATTGGCACTGAAGTTGTATATTGACCTAAATATCAAGCAGAGGAGTGACAAGGTAATGCTTCAAGAATGCTGTGAATCTACGGAAAAATTGTGCAAAGATCTCAGATGGTAATTGGTCTAGGCCATTTGTTCATTGCTTTCACCTTATCAAAATAAATTGCTGCTGCTTGAATAAAAATATTGTGCCCCAAGAGTTAATAGCCCTCTAAAATGAAATTTTGCTTCTTTCTGATACCGGTAGCACACTCCTGAGATACTCCAAATGATATGTCTTACTCACATATCTACATAATAAGGGTAAAAAGAACAATCACCCATATAGGCCCTTGAAATTTAGGAGCAGTCCAAAGGGCATAACCAAAATTAATAGTGCTCATTGTGGGTTCTTTAAGTTGTTTAATCAAAATCATCCAAGTAGATTTGAGTCTAATGATAGATTGGTCCAAGTCCAATTAAGAAAAGTGGCAAACTCCATTTAGCTCATCTAGCAATTTAACCATTACAAGAATTAAGTATTTATCTTGTACAATGATGTGGTTCAATTTCCAGTAATCCATGTAAAATCAACAAGTTTCATCTTTTTTTCTAAACAAGCAAACTAGGAAGATTAGAAATCCTGGGTAATCGTATCACTCTTCTTCACCTGCTTTTCAATTTCAAGTTTTTTATACATAAGGATATCAATTAACTCTTGCATTAACGGGAGGCAAGATAGATAGGAATCCCAGAATCATGATCTCTTGCTGGAGGTAAGCCTTTCATTCTTCAAACAAATTTGTGAACTATTGTAGCAACTCCTATATATGCCCTTGGTGGACTACAGTTTGATACTTGCAGAGTCAGTTCAGCGTTTAAAATAATCTGATTGAAGTTTAATTCAGATCTTCTACACTTGAATTTTTTTTATCTGAATCATATTTCAGCAAATGCGAAACTTTGGGCAAGAAAATATGCCTGTACCAGAGCTGCAGTTTATTCGACTGATACATTGCAGAAAGATGAAATTTCACTCGCCTTCTTGAGAATCATTTTGGTACTCTAGCAGCAATCAAAGGCTGATTGAGGCAGTAGAAAGGCAAAATAGGTGTGTTATTTTCAAAATTTGTTGGAGGGCCTAACAAATGTCGATATCATGTTTTCAATATCCCAACTAATATTAATAACTACTTCAATCAACCAATATAAGCTTACAAGTATATCAGCATCCTTCACCATCTTTAGCCTTAAATCTTTGCCAGAGCCAGGCTTATATTTATTGAAAATCCATAATCCAAATATCTGGCCTGAACAAATTGACGTTTACCGAATGAACAGGCTGTATCCAGCTCTAGCTTGATTCCAGTGAAGACAGGTCTCAAGCCGACTTTTGGGACTCAAGTAAGCCCATTCAAACAACATATATATTGTCAAGCATACAAATGCAAATAAATACTTTTGAGACTCAAGATTAGGAGACAAATGCCCAAACTTACCTAAACTGGCAATTGGCAAGGCTACATGTTAAGCCAACAACATGTTCTGCTAATTCTGCTTCATCTATGCATTGCCTTGAATGCACGTTTGAGTAATGAGTCGTCAACTTTGACAAAATCTATAAAAAAATTCAAATACTTAAAGGTGAAATAATTTAAACAAACATAACTCATGAAGAACTCAGGAGCAACAATTTTGATAAAGATGCAGACCTCCTCAACAGGTGGGCATTTCCAACAGCTAGCATTTGATGGATTTTTGTATTGATTTTGTTCACTGACAAAACAAAAAATCATGCTAAAAGTACTTAAAAAGTCAGATATAAAAATCTTAGGAGACAAGAAAGATACTTATCAGAGAAAACTTGCAGCAAATAGAGGAACAAACAAAAACAATATGAATAAGCTCAAATAAAAGCAAATATTTGCTCAAAAAAGTAAAGTTCAAATCATGTCAACATAGACAAGCTCCACAGATTAGAAACTCATAGAATGCTTAAGCTCTCAAAAGAATATCAAGCACCAATTTCTCAAAGACTCAAACACTGTCCATGTTCAGTAGCCATTTTGTTCAACAGGCAAGTGAGACTTTTAATAGAAAAACTAATTGTTGATGGAAAAAGTATATTTTAATTATTCAAAAATGATTCATGTCATGGCATATGGCTATGCATATTGCATATTTTGTGTGAACTAAGGAATTCAATCTTGGATACCTGACTGTAAGAGGCACGAAGAATGAAGAAGACAAAGGAAGAAAAGAGGAAGAGGATGCAGAGGATGATAGAGGAGACGGGAGAGGATGAGTATGGGTCCGATGGATGGTGGACTGGTAGTGGAGTCCAGGCCACAAGCGAGGGGCAAGCCTACGGTGCCGTGGACCACTCCATAGGAGTCATGTGTCTTTGACTCATGAGAGAATTTAGAAAACCTAAATGTACAAAGTTTAAAAAAAGACTAGATCCTACCGATTGGAAGCAGTTCCATCCACATCTCACATCCTGATTCATGCCAAGACCAGTAGATAGTGGTTAATACGAATAGGTACGAGTGGTCTTGCATGGTACAAACATTTTCAGGCCATACATGTGCTCGGACCGCTAGATACTAGTTGGTGCAAACCGGTTGCAGCTGCCAAAACAAATCAGGATCATTTGATCCTAAACAAAAACTCCTTCCTACTGTCAGTTTCAGTTAGCATAGGTTAGTTTTGATGGTTTCAGCAACTTTGGCAAAACAAATCAGCAGGTCTAGAAAAACTGAACTTCACAAAGAAGAAAAAATCCCTTTTTGACTTTTCAAAGCAAATTGTTATATTTGACCTACATAATCAAACAATCAAAACAAAACAAGTCACCAAACTAAAGTAGTTAAAATAAAATTAGTCAAGATTGGAACTACATGGCCAAGCCATCAATGCCCAGAATGGCACAAACCATCAAAACAACTCTCTTTATGCATAGAGCTGATAGAACTGTGGAACTCAAACCAAAAACCTAGACAGTGATGTATATATCACCATATAGCAATATAAAATTACCAACTTTTCTTTAAACAAATGACAGAGATGGATTACACTAGCTTACTCATACTTAATTAGTATAGATGTGACTAAAGTAGCCTCTGTAACACTATAGAATATTAACATAACGGCATATTATTTTAGGGCCTTCTTACAAATATCCCTGTTCCAGGCTACATACTAACAAGGGTTGACAATTGTGATGCTTAATAGAAGTCTCTTACAATCATTTCATTGTATCATGTTTAGCTAAAATTGTATGCAGATATTACATGGTCCGGTAGTACATAACAAAATTTAAATAGTCTCACCTGCAAAAATATCCAATTTAAGATAGCTCATATAAAGTTCTGGGATCAACATATCAGCAAAAATAAATATAATCCCACAAGAAAATCGTAGAAATCATTATTTATCATTCCTATCAATTGCAGAAATATAGGGTCATCAAACTATTTATCATTCCTAACAATTGGACAAATACATGGTATAGAATCCTCATAATATAACAGGACAAAAAAAGAAAACTGCAAGAGGACCAATAGGTGACCCACCCAAATTTAGAATGAAATTTTGAAACGTACATTTGAGTAAAGTTACTAGATTCCAACTGCAGCATCAGAATTAGTTCTTGTAACAGTGCTATCAAATAATACAATAACTTCATTGCTTCAATTAATTACCAACCAACACCACAAAACTGAGAATGCTCAATAATTTCTTGTATGCATATTGAAAATATTAGGAATTAAAAAACACATTTCTAAATTAAATTTCCACAAAGATTGATCCCTCAGAGATGACCAAAATGGAACACATATAATAACCACTAAGGAATTGTAGATGCAAAAATATCGAAGAGCCAAGAATAAAGTAAAATTGGAAGGAACAAATAACATGAGCCAGAACCCAGGACTAACCATTTTTTTATGTAACTCGTTAGTTTGTTAATAAGATAGCATATCGTGAAAGTTGGGTACTGACTTTGGACTCTATGAATGCTGTCAAAGAAGGATTCAGTGATTACAAGGTCACAAAATTCCTCTGCCTCAGACACAAGTAGTATGTATGGCACTTCTGATCCAAGAGAGGAAAGCTGCATATTATTTGTAAGAATAGTCAGTGCTTAAATAACAAATTTTATGCAAAAGCAGCCAAATACATATTGATCAAAAGTTTAAATTATACCACTAAATAAAAGTACAACAAATTTTATGCAGGATTGATGCTTTAAAAATAATTTTCTTCTCCCAGTCTATATCACACCATCTTTTTGATCTTTTCTCTCCTGTAACTCCTTTCAAGCAAAGTAACACATTAGCATGAGTGTTGGATAGTGTGCTCTAAAAGATCACCTTACCTTTGCCATATGATCAGGTACATTCATTTTCCACATGATTGATCTTTCAACCGGATTTGAGGTTACACGAAAAGATAGACCTTTCTCTGCAAACCTAGTGAGAAGATGCCCTACATCAAATTTGGACAACAAAGTTCAGGAATGGAAAATAAGCTAATATTGTAAGAATGACATGACTATTTACAGGATTAAATTGACATGTTTACCATACCACCAACAGAACCGTTTTCGATAACTTTAACATCAATCTCAGCCAAGATAGACTTTAATGCAAATTTCCCTTTTTCCCATTTTTGCTTCTCCTTCTCCAATTTCTTTGCTTCTGCTGCTTCAGATTTCAAAGCTTCTTTCTTCAATTTCTCTTGCTGTACACAGAAATCTGCAGTCACATTATGTTATCTGTTTCAAATGTCAATATGAATTTACTCAAAACTAACCTGTTTCTGTCGTTTTCTTTCTTCAAGTAAATGACGTTTCTCTTCTTTGAGTTTCTTTTTTCTTTCATCAGCCTCAGTTTTGTGGTTTTTCCTAGCATCAACTATGACACCTTTGCGGTTCTGATCTCCAGTGAAATCTTCTTTATCAAACATGCAATCCTGATCATCACTGTGGTTTCCAGTCTGTAATGCAGATAATAAACATTCAGCTCTGTTCTGTCTTAAGTATAATATATGATTAATGACTTGTAAAAAGCAGAAATTAGTGTGTCCAATAGTCTGAAACAAACACCAGCATATATATATATATATATATATATATATATATATATATATATATATATATATATATATATATATATATATATATATATATATATATGAAGAATGAAAAATTAGTCCAAGAAAATTTAGAGGTCATTATTGAAAAACAATATAAAACCAATAAAAAACAATAATCATAGAGACATAAATCTGCAAGGAGCAACTAATATAAACTATCATGAGCAGCAAATGGCCAAGTAACAAAAAGTGATGTGCAAGAGCCAAAAAAAATGGCAAAGGGTGCTCTAATCACAAGAGTCATCTTACTGCTTGAATGTTGATGGGCAATCTATGTGTACAAGTTAATGTTGTTTACACTCTCACTGTGATTGTTAACCTTAAAAACAGGTATACCCATTGGTTCCAATCAAGAAAATAAAATTAGTGGTACACTATGCGGTACAGGTCCTATGTACCAGTCAAACAAAACCATGGTTGCGGTATACTACACTTTACAGCTAAAACCAAAACAAGCCAGGCAAACCAGCCCAATTTGGTGTGATAAATGGATAGGGCCTACCACTTAATTCAAGGCACCAGCAAATTGCAACAATTTTCAGGTGGTTTTAAACTATTCCCAAATTGGTGGTGGCAGCAAACCCACAGAAGAGAGAGAAGAAGAGGAGAAGCAGCAGTAGCAACAGCAACAGGTAACGAGGTAAACATACAAGTACTTTTTTCCTCCGAATTCTTCTCTGTTTTGTTTTATTTATTGATTTTGGCCTGTACCAACTGATACACTACAGAGAATTGTACAAGGACTAGCCCAATAGGCTTTTGGTTCCAGTACCAGTACCAGTACCAGTATTTGACTCCTTGATTCCAAATCATATAAGAAGATCAAGAGTGATACTTTAATGTGATATTTAGTTTTTTTTTCCTCCTTTCCCTCCAGTTAGAATATCCAATGATATGCTTGAACAAGATGACTGATATGGAACCCCTCATTAAGTGCACAATTTTGGAGCACTAAAAATATTAATGTCATTTAATATGTTTCAAAAAATTTTAATTCTTATCAGCAGGGAAGTTTATTGAGCAGCTCAAATTCATCACCTACATTTTCGAATTTTAACTAAAAGTTTCACTCTCCAATAGACTTAAATGCAGCTTATTATCTGATAGACAAGAACAATAAAGAAGATAATAGGTAACAAGGACTAATATTTTCTAAATTCAGTTTTGGAATCTGTCATATCATATACTTGATATAACATACTTAGTCAATATAATGTGGTAAGAGTCCCCACCAACTTATGGAAGTATAAAGCATGGTATGCAATTTCGAATAGTACCGTCCGGTATGGGCGGTACATACTGGTCCGACAGCATATCGGTACGTGGACCGCCCGCTATCGGACGGAATGTGCTACAGTGCTATAGTGATACACTATAACAGTGCTACTATAGAGGAAGAAATATTTAAAACCACTTGGTATGCCCTGGTGTACCGAGCGGTACACGGTACCGTACCATACCGAGCCAACATCGAAACACCGGTATGGTACGGTATTGCATACCTTGGTATGAAGTACAAATATTTTTAAATATTATACTTGGAAAGAAACAGAGTGAGAGACAAAGAGAGCAAAAGAGAGAGTGAGAAGAAGAAACTACTAGCACCAGTTTTCAGTTGTCTGGAAAAGTACATAACATAATAGCACTCAGTTTAATCAGCATGTCAAATACTATCATCCTATAAGTCATGACATTGCATCAAATAGTGCAGAGACTAGCCATACTAGCAAAAGAAGCAAAAAATGGATAGCAAAAATTATTGTAAGACTTAAAATAGTTCTTTTCAAAATTATTTAATTAGGCCTTGCACAAAAACACTCCAAAAGATATGCCTATATCTGATGTGATAATTTGGTGTTTCGACAAGTACTTAGTACCACATCCGGAAGCTTGTGCACACACTCGATGAAAATGGAACTTTCATGGGATCACCTGCAGAAGAGCTTCTTTAGCCATGCAGCAACCATGCAGAGGACTGGCACCAACAATCTGTACGAAACTGGAGGTGGCTGGAAAACATGTTCACTTTATAAACCAAAATGACCAGAAAGTGACACACTAATAGTATAATCCTAGCTTCAGCTTGGAATGTTAGACATATGTATGAGTTACCATCAATGCAGTCATCAATCACTCCATGTCTACCATCCTGTATAATATCTTTATTGTTCTTATAGTAGCTGTCAGAAACTGCATCATCAATTGGGAAACATAATGTGTCATGATCCTTTTCTGCTCCTGAAACTTTTAGATCTACAGCTCTGTGGAATCTTAAATCTGTCCCAGCATGCTCGGGTGGTGTAGATAAAGCACTTGTGGTATCTTGTTTGCTCACATTTACCAAATGTGCACCAAGTTCGGACTCATTATCAGATTCCAAACAAATCAACCCAGTAATTCCTGTTAAGAACAACAGCAACAACAAAGTTGTAAGTCCCAACTAATTCGTCTCAAGCACAATAATAAAAAAAAGGGCCTTACAGAAAAATCTGGTGGACAAACAGTCAAAATTAAGTGAACAAAGTGTAGTTACCATTTGATAACCACAATTAAACTTTGAAGCAAAAAGGAGGAAATGAGTTAAATAACAAAAATGATAAATCAACCAAGGAACGACTACTAACATGCTTGTGCACTGCAGCTGTACCAATAAGCAAACAAGAAAACAATAGACAAGGAAAATGACGTATTACTGAAGCATGCTTATCATTAAAATGATATAAGGCACCACAGACAAGAGTCAAGAATAGGTTCGTCGTACCGCGATATATTGCCCGGTATAGACGGTACATACCGATCCATGCAGACCACCCTGTACCGAGCAGTACACGTAACATAACCCCGTATCGGGTGATACAAGATAGTACCGATCGATAACGATCGGATTTTGATCAATACTGATCACAGGCTAAGATTATCCTATTTCAAATGGTAAATTTGATCATTTGAACCAAGGGAAAAGGTTAAAAAACCCTTTCCTCCTATCTCTTTCAACCCATTTCACTCTCTCAAACTCTTCAACTCTCTTAAACCCTTTTTCACTCACCTCTCTCTCTCTCATTCTCACAGTTTCAACTTTCTCAAACAGCTAACAACAGTACGGTGATAGTTGGTCATTCTTCTCCAAGAAACAATATGGTGATCGATCTTATGATACGGAGTAACAGATCAGTGATGAAATTCTAACATTCTCTATGCTCCGCACTAATACATGTCATAATCGTCCTTGCCTCAGGAGCTACCTTGGACACATATGGTTCACAACAATCGAACTATGACCAGCACCACATTGATGCATCAATGACATACGGTGTATCAGTATACTATGTCGTGGGATCAATCTAAGGATTGGGTCCAACAAACATATCAAATTGATATATAGATACATAAGATCGAGGATCTCAATCCAACGCTCATGGAGTCCTGTCATTATTTTTGGTGGTAGAACCAGGCATATCCATCGATTGATTACTTGATTTAAGTATAAGTTTTTTAAAAAATAATCTAATAATTCAAATCATTTCTTTGAAAATAATTTAATATCAACGGAAGAACGGTCCGAAATGTACCACAAAACTACTTCTTAAAGTCTAAAAAAGATGTGTCATTATTCTTTACTAATTTAGATTATTTTTGCTAAAATTATATTAAACTTATATTTATTTCCAATTTAAAAACCCTAATCTAACTTCTTTTTTTCTATTTTTTTATAAAAAAAATTAGAGCTATTTTCTTCCATTTTTCCATGTCATTGGTACGGCCCGCCGTATTGACACATGATATGTCGATACAGATCGGTATGTACCGTATTGATGACCAGTTGGTACACTAGTATAGTTCGGTAAGGCGAATCCTCACTCAAGATGGGTGCTCAATTTCTAGACATTCCAATAGTAATACATTCGAACAGGCTCAGTACTTATGCATAAAAAATGAAGAAACAAACTCAGTCTATGAGAATCCTACCAATGCGGGGTACAGTGTCAATGTACTAAAGCATACCATCAATAAATCCAGGAGTAAACACGAGAAGCCGATGCATCACACCTACATAAATTACAGTGACAAACTATGACTAACTATTCGTTGCAGCATGGCATATTAATTTCTAGAACACTGCATTGTACTGCATCCTGTAATGATAGATCAATGCTAGATATACAGATTATTTACTAAAATTCATAGATGCACATTATGAGTTATTTGTAATGTGAATATCACTTCCAGGATGAAGTTAATTGATAAGGATTGATGACAATTACTAGAAGTCTAAAAATTGTTTTGACTATATTCACCTTAATTTACAGAAGACAATGCATACAAAACATTCTTTGAGTCCAAAAACGCCAATATAATCATGCAGACTATATAAACTTTTCTGTCTGAATTCAGGTTTTACACCACTATCTGATGGGAGAAGTACAAGAGTTGCAAGAGAAATCAGAACTAGTCAATGAGAAAGACAAAAATCCTCTGTACATTCATTTTCTAATTACCTCTGAATAAAATTCAGACGGCCAATGTACCAGCAAGTACACTCTTCCAAAGAATATAATACATCAAAATTTATGTTGCCATACATGCCAGCCTGCTACCAGAGTGATATGTGCCAATATGTCTATCAATGATGAAATGCAACATGGCTATTGTACGTATTTAAAATTTATTTTTATTACTGAATAAGCTTTGACATAAAAGTATATCCATATCGAGTCAAATCAGTACCCCACATTTAGATCCATGTATGACAGTGTCTAGATAATTTATAAGAGTAAGTTTTTGGGCCCGATGTTAATATCATGATTTTGATAATAATAAAATGTTTCGTGCATACAAAATCAATCACAGGTAGCATCAAAGCAATCTCAAGAACTCATTGGATAAGTAAAATACAAGGTTGGCAGCTTCAAAATCAAGCCAGTACATTCTTTATTCCATTTTTATTTATCTCGGGAACTTGATTACTTTTACATAAAAAGAGAAATACTTTTACATAATAAGAGAAACTCAATACAAACCATTGGACTTGGACTTAGTGACTACAACTAGTAAACTAAAAAAAAGTGCAAATTTTGAAGAGACGTGTGATTATACCTTTACAAATAAACTTCAAAAGAGATTGACCAAAACCGTATTTTTTGGAGATAAAAAGGATAAACATAATGATAAAGATACTAAACAAATTCCACCCTAAATCCCAAGCAGGGTACAACACCTATTTAATCCCACTTAAACTGAGGAAGGAGAATCAAATCAATCAACCACCTATAAAGGAAATGCACTCTCCAAAGGAATAGGGATCAAACCCCACCCTCCACCGGGAAGACAAACTCCCAACCGTCCAGTACAAGGGACGGCAGGCAGAACCAAACCTAAAAAAATCAATCTTTAATTTAAAGAAAGAGGAGAACTCACCGGCGAATTTATCTGAGGAAGCATTTCCGAATTTGGCACGGGAAAGGCTGCATTTGACAACAGAAGGATCAGAATCGAAGGCGAAGCCAGGAGAGAGGGGCGTCTCGGCAACAAAGGAGGGGGTGCGGGTGGCGTCGGCCTTCTGAGGGGTTAGGTCGTCGTCGATGACGACAAGGGTCGGAGGCGGCCCTCCGCTTCCCCCGAGTTTCAACTGCTGCCTCTTCTTGGGACGACGCGGCGAGGGAGAAGGGGACGAAATGTCCACGGCGACTGCGGGCGGCGGCAGGGGCCGGCGATCCATAAAGGCGATCGGAACGCGCTCTAAGATTGGGGATCTTTGGGGTTTGAGAGAGGGTCAGGCGACGCTTCCATCGCGCCAAACAATGGTGTCAAAAAGCTCGTCCCCGTCAAATTATCGGGTCGGATCGATGAAGATACCGGAGTTCGGTCGGCGTAGCGAGGTCACATAAACCCGACCCGACCCGACCTACCAAAGAAATGGAACTATCGGGTCGGATCATCCGAAAACCGGAGTTGGGCAGGGATAGTGACTGCTTAAACCCGACCCGATCCGCCATTTGGTCAACAATTCTTGATCCAAAACCGAGCTATGATTAATGGGTCGGATTGGATCAGATCGGGTTGGCAAATCAAAGCATGCTTCGAACTATTGTTCTTTTAGCATCAGAATCAGATTAGGCTGAGGGAGATAGGTCAGGTTAAATCATACTATCAAGAAACAAACGCTTAACCTGAAAGATGAACATGAATCTAATTTTACTTTCAACTTGGATTAAGGTTCGAGCCAAAATAAAAATGATCGGATATAAGTCAAATTTAGGGTGCAAAATGGGTTCGAAAAATAATGTGAATCGATATATAAAATATATGAAAAAAAAAACAATAACATTATTAGCAAATTGTAAGTATCAAAATATCATATGATAGCCTAAATCTGTTTGATATTAAAATGAATTTTCTTTAGGAAAAAAAAACTTAGATATATAGTTATAACTGATGATAAAATAGAAACTACCATATACTTTTAAAACAATAAAATCTAACAAAATTTGTCATGGTTTAAAATTAGGCTAATTACATATTAACTTTATAGTTAGACTTCTTTAGAATCATGGTCCCTATACTTAAAAATTTACATTAGAATCTAAAGTAAAACATCTAGCTCCATTTACCCTTATCGACGGAAGCACAAAACGATACACAAATAAATAATTTCAACATCTCAATTACGTTTTCAATGGTAGCGAACAACGATTTCATTATGGTCACAAGTGGTTGTTATGGATGAAAAGAAAGAACAATGACAAGAGATGAGATAGCAACATAGATGTTGATGCTCTACATCTACGTTAATGTCGATACTCCAATGCAGAATGATGAAAGGGCCACTCAGCATTTACATTGGCATTGATGTAAATGAAGAGCAACACCGTTATGCGTATGTGTCGACGCCTATAATAATACAAGGAAGGGCAATGTTACTTTGCATCTACATCAGCATCAATACAGATGTTGAATGACCCTTTCACTACTTTACATCTACATTGACGCTAATGTAAATACTGAGCGATTCTTTCATTGCATCTACATCGATGTCGATATAATTGTCGAGCTACGTCAACGCAAATGCAATGCGACATTCGGTATTTGCATCAATGCCAACGCAGATACAAAGTGACACCAACATAAATACAAAGCATCGACATCTACGTTGTTGCCTCACCTCTCATCGTTGTTGTCCCCTTCTCATCCCCTATAGTCACCCGTGACTCCAATGATGCTGTCGTCCACCACCACCAAAAATATAACTCAAACGTTGAAATCATTTTTTTATCCATCATTTTCGTTTTTCTATCGGTAAAACCGATAACGATAGAATAATTAGAACTAAATATTTTATTTTCATAATTATAAGAATTATGATATAATTTTTAAAATTAAAAAATCAGAATACTACTATAAGGATTTTAATATAAATTTTTAAAATTTTAAAAATCAGAATACTAGATAGATCTAACTACATAAAATAATATATAATTAACCCTTTAAAGTGACACACATAATATGACTATCTCTTTTATCAAGGACTTTCATAGTGAAAGAAGAAAACCTCAAAAAAGGTCGAGTGAAAAAGGTAGATGAGCAGGGAGAAAGGAGGGAAAGGGATTAAGAGATAGAAAGGAGGGTTACAGAGAGCCTTAATTCTATCACCATATAGATGCATTGATTGATGCACGCACTGGTTCACGCAAAATTTCTGTATGCAAATGATGAAAATTACTAGAGATTAGAAAGTAGATCAGTTTCTTTTTCAGATTCAGATCAATATCCTTTTGACAATACCATCGGGTTAAATGCAAAAAGAGGAGCGCATTGGCAGCAACAACTTCATGGATGGGGAATATATAATTTAAAATGATACATAGGACAAGGCCTAGCTGAGACTCAAACAGTACAATCTCATATCATGACTTGCTTCGGAATCTGATAGAGCATCTTAAGTACTAGTTATCACCACATAGGAATCAGAATCCAAGAAACGGTGGACAAACATTATATTAGCAGTACAGTAGGAAGAACATTATTTCTTCCCACTCTTCTTGAGACCTGTACCCCCAAATGATCCCTTCTGGGATGCCTTGGCCCTGAGCTCCTTCATTGCCTGTTTAAAGAAAGTAAAACTTAGCCATCCAAATAATTTTCATCTGATTTAGGAAGATAATCCACAACTCATACAAAATTTAACTTCACCTTCTCCTCATCTTTTTTCTTCTGGAGGTTTGCTAAATCCGTCTGCAAAGAGCCCAAAAATGTCAATGTCAGACACAACACAGAATTACTATAATCCATACACTAGCATAATATCAAAGTAAATGTGCCAGCAAATTTAAGAACAAGCAACCTCGTCTGAACATTTGTTCCTAGTTGTAATTCAAGTTTTGGAAATTAAGACTTCCACCTCAAAGTGACATGAAAATCAGCAAAATTGATGAGACACAGACTTCAAGAACACATATGTACTCTTAATATTACTTAGCAAAGAATGCCCTAATAAACAAGACAAATCAGTATGATAGGATTTGCTGCGGCACCATAAGCAGGGGAAAAAATAAACAAGAGATGGATGCACCTATCCAGAGTCTTTGCTGAAGCACATTCAATCTAACAAATTCATTGGATCAAATAAAATTTACAAATCCCAGGGAATCGTAACGAGAGCTCCCAGTGACAGGTGGTGTATAACAAAGCAAAACAGGAAAAGAAGTTAAGAGGGAGTGATTGGTAGTATATCTATAGTTGGAAATCATCCATCCTCATGATCCAAGAAGCTGAGACAAAATCTTGCTTAATTTAGTGCTAAGAGTATTGTTTTTAATCAAGGTTTGACATACCGAAATGTACCGCTCGGTACGGATAGTATGTACCAATCCAACAAAGGATCGGTACATGCGGTACATCGATACACCTTAGTGTACCATGTGTCGATATGATCGGTACAGCTTGATACATATCATACCGATAGCTGATTGGTACACCGGTATGGACCGGTAATACGAACCATGTTTTTAATAGCCAATAATAACCCAAAGACACCTTGAGTCAAAACAACCACATTAAAAGAATCATAGTTTGCATGTTCTATATGGTGGCACAATACCTTTTCAAAGCAATAATGCATTATGGAAGGTAGGAACTGATCATCCATTCATAAGTTCTTTCCCCCTTCTAATTTGACCACAATTTATAGAAAAAAATTGTATGCTTTAAGACTAGAATCATCATAAGAGATGAACATACTGGAGATCAGCGGAGAAGGACATCCATTGACCCATGTAGGATTGTAAACCTGTTTCTGCCAGTTTCTTATTCCTTTTTTCTTTTTGTTACTTCAAATATTCTTTATGTCCATAGTTACCTTTATATTAAACAATTAAGCATTGAGATAGTCTTTGTTACAATGATATTTTAACGTAAACTGTGTAACAAAATTGTTTATTTTTCCTTAGTTTCACAAAATTAACCATGTGGGCAAACTAAGATTGAACCAAGGACATGTACTCTACAGCATAAGCTATATCTTATAATCTCCTTAGAACAAGAAAGGATTTTGGGTGTTCTGGTTTCCAACGAGCCATTGAAGTGGATGATAATTAAGTAAAGGTGCAACTATTGGATTTTTTCATGTATAGTAGACAAATTCTACAAGCTAGAGCCATCAATCATAGCAACAAGAACATTTAAAGCTAAATGAATTCAAAACCTTTCGCTGAGTTCACTAAACACTCACCTCAGATGATTTGCTCGGAAGTTTATCTTAGTTCTAAAGTATGAATACCACAATTCCACAATCATCCCAAGGTACATCTAACATGCAGCATCGCCAAACAGGGTCAATACCAACTAACTAGTTCTTATGCGGTCAAAGGATTTCAGGTACTCCAACTAAACAAGCTTAATTAAGATTAAATGAGAGCCAATAGGACCTTTTTTTTTTAGACAAAGAAACAAAGTATCTTCGTTTGCTTTACCCTTATAATATCTCCATAAGGTACAGCGCTTAAAATCCTACGTCCAAACCAGAGTTTGACCGTTCACGCCATAATAGCAGAATAGCAGTAGAAAACAATCATATCACGGTTTTCTTGGCATCAGAGATAAAGTTGAAGAAAAAAGACACCAAGATTCAACAAAAGACATTATTACACAGAAACTCAAGGAATCAATCGATTTATTATGAGAAATCTATTGGGAACAGGGCAGAAACTTAAGAAGCAACGCTTTTCTAGGCATCAAACATCAATTCAAGCACAGACAGAAAATCCCAGTTTCCCGTTGTATAAGAACTCGAGGAATCAATCAAACGATTAGGGAAATCATTATAGAGAGAGAGAGAGAGAGAGTTGATCCTACTGAAAAACCGTATTGCCAACATCAAAGATCAATACGAAAGAAAGACAAATTTGAAACAAACATCGAACCCAAGAGCCCACTTCCCGTTAAATAAGAACTCGAGGAATCAAGAACAAGAGAGTCGAGCAGATCAAGAAGCCACCATACCTCATCGTAATCCTTCTTATCGGATTTAGGTTGCTTCAGGGGCTTCAACTTTCCACCTGAAACGATCGCATGGACATCGATTCAAATCCTCGAGAAGCGATTACAAAGAAAACGACACGGATCTTAGAACGAGAGAGAGAACGAGAAAGATAGAGAGACTAACCTTGCTTCGACGACATGGCTGCTTCGAACCGGAAGGGAAAGCGAACCCCAATTTTTGATGTCCAATACCAAATCGAAAGAAAGGGAAAGAGTTGGTGCTATGCGTATAAATAAGGGACAGGATGGCGAACCCTAACGGGGCCCAGTAACTCCAGAAGGTTCTTACGCACCGACACGAAGCTGGGCCTCAGTTGTAAATTGTGGAGCTTCTCCTAATGGGCCTTGGCAGCTAACTCATTCGCCAATCTTTTATCACTCGTAAAATGAATATTATATATATATATATATATATATATATATATATATATATATATATAGGACGAATTTAAGAAACAAACTCGTTAAGTTTTAGAATTTTTTAGATAATGTATAAATTTTAAAAGGGTTTTATATAGTATTTATTTTTTATCATTCTACCTCCATCGACATCGCCCTCCTCCCTCTGTCCTATCGGTTACCCCCTTTCGTCGGATTCACTTAGTGATAAAAGCATAGTAATCCCTAATGAACCCTGTTGCTCCTCCATGTTGATGAGAAAAGTGTCACGATAAGTTCTCATGTGAGGGCCATAAGCATAGGTTCTCCACAAGATCGTAGACGATATGACAAGAGCTACGTATGATAATACATGATAAAGATAATGATTAGTCTAGTGATGACGACGGTGACAATAGATCTGAAAAAATTAATTTAAAATTTATTATAAATAAAATAATATTTTTATTTAACTAGGGCATTCTACAAAAAAATTTTCGGAACATCATCTAAAAAATCTGAAGGCACAATATTTATCATTTATTTTCGATGTCAAATTAACTCGCAGAAAGTCCAAGGAATCGTCCCAATTAATTGAACCGCTCAATTAGCGTGTTGCGGCGAAACCACGTGGCTTTCTCCTTCATTACTACTTGTCTCGTTCATCATTTGTACCCGCGCAGATACCCGACTCTTAATTGATTCGCGGAACCTGATCCAGACGTCCCTTCGCTGCCACCGGGGCAAGAGAAATCGGCGGGTACGCGTTTTAAAATTTCAAGCTTTCTTGTTCCCCCAGCCAGACGCTTACAGCTTGGCTTGCGTTTCAAATGGGTTCTCTCTTCCTTCCCATTTTGAAGTTGCCGAAATCTTCTCCTACCCGTCGAAACCTGAGCAGCCAAATACCTGCCTTGCAAATGGTCATTATGATGCCGTTTAGGCGGTCCCCACATCGGGCCCACTGGCTCTGCCCAATAGCAAGACTACGACAACTACGAAGGTAGAATATATATTAACTTTTGACGGTTAATTAAGTCCGCTCGTTGTCGTACCGATGACGGGCGGATGAGCACATAACGCCGAACGCCTGGGCTTCCTCTCTCTGCCTCACCCACCTATATAATGTCTCGCCGTTACCCAGCCTTCTCTACCCCTTCCATATCGCAGATTGTTTCGCCCACAAGATGAAGGGGGGAGAGGGAGCGGAAAAGGAAGCGGTGAAGGCGATTGAGTTGGAGGCCGAGATAGAGCGGCTGCCGGTGGACCTCCTCGCTTTCATCTTCTCTCTTATCTCCTCCTTCAAGGATCTGGCACAGTAAGCGCCGATCGCGATACCCTCGATTCCCTTTTCGCTTCTTAGTTGGGTTAAATCGGGTTGTTTGACTCGCGGCTTTGAAATTCCAAGGGCGAGTGGGGTGTGCCGGAAGTGGCGGCGAGGGGTGGAGGAGTCCCTCGCGAGGAAGGAGAGGCTGAGCTTCGCCGGGTGGAAGGTGGACGACGAATCAACTGCCCGGGTCGTCCGTGCGGCCTACAATCTCAAGGAGCTCGATATGTATCTTCCATCTCCTCTTCAATTTCCGTCGGGTTTTCCTTCCATTTTTCCCCCTATAAGTAGGTTTATATATATATATATATATATATATATATATATATATATATATATATATATATATATATATATATATATATATATATATATATATATATTGTGTGTGTGTGTGTGTG